TTATTAACCAAAAACTGAATAGAAAAATTAATTTTCCAATTGCTGGGAACATATTTCCTGTACATTGTTTTAAAATAAAATATGAACTTTTCCTACTTTTTTTAAGTTGAACTTTGACTGATCAGGGCACAATGCTATTGTGAAATTAAAAACGCGGACAAAACACTTACACCTAGGAAAAAACAAATAATCACAAACATTGAAACACTAAAAACAAAAGTCATGATTACAAAAGAAATTAAAAACAATATAATGATACAAATAGTACGGGAGAGTGGGGCAAAAACGTTTTTTAACCACTTGAGCGGCAGTGCGTCAGAATTGGCGTCAGCGTGCAAGTGACAGAAGCGGCAAAAATGCGTAAAAGGCGTCAAAATTTGACTACTATTTTCTCATTCTGTAAGGAGATTTATAATATCACAACAAAGTATTTTTCTTTTTTAAAGTAAATGAGCAGATCTTTAAACAAAAAAATGCTTTTTTAAATATTTCGATTTCGTGAAGAAAAATTGGACTTTTTGTGGTAGAAATTGAAACGCCACTAATATCAAACTATTAAATATTGTTAGCTTTGATCCTTGAAAACTTATTTAAATATTTTAAAAAACATTTTTTTTGCTTACAGGTCTGTTCTTTCACTTTAAGAAAGAAAAATACTTTGTTGTGATATTATAAATCTCCTTACAGAATGAGAAAATAGTAGTCAAATTTTGACGCCTTTTTCGCATTTTTGCCGCTTCTGTCACTTGCACGCTGACGCCAATTCTGACGCCCTGCCGCTCAAGTGGTTAAAATATCTCCTTTATTTTCTGTCTATTCCAATTGGTATTAAAAATTAAGTTGCAATGCAATCAGACCAATTGATTAAAAAAAGAAAAACCTAAAAATATCAAATATTTTAAGAAATATAACAAAAAAATTGTTTTGCAAAAATAAAATGATAATTTTACTGAACAAACTTTTATTTTTTAAAACATAAGGTTAAGTATTTAATTTTTTAAAACGTAACATGCAAATAAATTAAATATTTCTCTACATAACTGGCGTGGTGTTTTAGTTTAATTTTGTATCTATACATTTTAAATTTAAAGTAAAAAAAAGTTTGTTATGTGGGGCAAAGGCAATATTGAACATAATTTGGTTAAAAATAATTGAATATTCGAATTTTCTATGTATTAATTCACAATATAAGGTTAAAATCACTAAAAGTTTTTATTTTTTATTTTAATAATTTAATTCTTTTAATAATATGTTGTTAACCTTATGTTTCGTAAATATTATACTAATAAATATCACTTGCTAATTTTTTTAAGGCTTATAAATGCTGTCTTTTAGAAATATAAGCGAAAACGTCGCTGCTCCAGCGTGTGGGGCAAAGGCATTTTTTGCATTGTTTTTAAATTTCATTTAATAATGTATTTATAATTATAATATACTAAATAACAACTATTAAAATTTCTTATTGATTACACTGGGTTACAAAAAAATGGTCATATCGTGTTTATTCAAAGTTTCCTGTGATTATTGAAAGTTTAGGTGTCACTGAATAAGAATATACCAGTAAAACATTTTTTCATTCGGTCATTCCCTTAAAAAAACGAGTTTAAAGTGTCAAAAACCGTATTTTTAGCACTTTTTGAGGCAGCGTAACAAGAAAACGCAACATGATAAAAATCTCTACAAGAGCTTAAATAAAAGCTTAAACCTTCAACTTTGAGGCTCAGAACTGAAAAGTACTTAAATAATCAATAAAAACCTCCTTAATCAAGCAGTCGCTACCTGAAATTGTCAAAAAAGCTAGAACAGGAAGCAATTGGTAAAAATCGATTTCCTTAAGCGGATTCGGTTGCAACTTGTTACTTGAAGTTTTTTGAGGTTTCTAATGACGAATTGGAACTTAGATTTAAAAAATTTCAAAATGGCGGACTGAAAATAATGAATTCACTCAATTTTTCAAAATTTGCGTTGATAATTTTAAAAAATTGAGTCCGCCACTTTGAAATTTTTTAAATCTAAGTTCCAATTCGTCATTAGAAACCTCAAAAAACCTAAAATAACAATTTGCAACCGAATCCGGTTAGGGAAATCGATTTTTACCAAGTGCTACCTAACCCAGCTTTTTTGATAATTTCAGATAGTGACTGCAGGTTTTCAGTGCTTATTTAAGTACTTTTCAGTTCTGAGCCTTAAAGTTGAAGGTTTAAGCTTTTATTTAAGCTTTTGTAGAGATTTTTATCATGTTGCATTTTCTTGTTACGCTGCCTCAAAAAGTGCTAAAAATACGGTTTTTTGAGACTTTAAACTCGTTTTTTAAGGGAATGACCGAATGAAAAAAAGTTTTTCTGGTATATTCTTATTCTGTGACACCTAAACTTTCAATAAACACAGTAAATTTTAAATAAACACGACATGACCATTTTTTTGTAACTAGTTTTAGAATAATGAAAAACAAATACAGCAAAAATTAATTGCTTAATTTAAAAAATATACATCGATAAATGCAAACCTAGCGGCTTTGCCCCACTCTCCCCTATATTGTGCGCCAAGGGACAGAAAGTATGAAAAAGGCATCTGTACCGTGATGCACACACTACTTTTTACTACAAAGGTAAGAATTTTTAGTTGAAAGGAAAATCCTCATAGATATTTCTTCACATAGTAGTGTATTGATGTACATTCAAATGTACGCCCCTGTTTTGTCGCGAGGTGGGTTCGGGGAGTCCCGCTACTATCGACCAATCAGAAAACAGCGATTTTTACTATTTTATTATTTTTAAGATGCCGTTACAACCTATTATAATAAGAGCTGATGACGTGGTTAAAAGAAATGAACAATATCACTCTGCTGTCATGAAAACAGGAAAATATAAAGTAAAGACAATAAATGAATTTAGTCCTTCATTCATTCTTGTTGCTGCGCGCCGTCAAGAAATGAGAGGTACAATAGACGATTTAGACAATCTATTCGATGTCTACCCTGTAAAAAATAGTATTGGGAGGTACGGGATTCCGTATTGCAAGTGCCAACCTGCTAATGCGGTATTCGCGAATTACCGCATTGGGTGTCCTGGTGAATACGGAAATGAAAGGGTCCCAATGCGGTGCAAGTTTTAAGCTTTATAAAAAACGAAAATACGTGACAGGAGGAAATAATTAGTGTCAGTGCAGAAATATGCGAGTTAAAGGAATGAGAAAATAATAATAGTCAGTGTAAAAATGAAACTTTAAGAAAAAAAGGTAAGTTGAACTGTCAAATATGAGTCCAATGCGGCGTAGGCTGCTTTCAATGCGGTACACAATCGGTACATAGTGCAAGTCGCCAGTAGAGGGCAGAAGCAAGCAGAGCGAATCGAGCGAACACAGTGGCCCAGCTGACATATGATTTGCATTACATTACTTTCCAATTTTTTATTTTATAACCACGTTTCTGCATGAATCTAAACAGTATTTTCGATTATTGTAATTTAGAAGATGCTTACCAATTGTACGTTGGCAGATTTAGTGAAAAGTGTCTGTGTACGGAGACAAATGTGTTAGAAAATGTTTGTTTACCTATTTCACGCCATTCAAACCAGTCAAAGTTGCTTTTGCTGTGGCGCATTGAAATCAGCCTATGCCGCATTGGGCCCATATTTGACAGTTCAACTTACCTTTTTTTCTTAAAGTTTCATTTTTACACTCACTATTATTATTTTCTCATTCCTTTAACTCGCATATTTCTGCACTGACACTAATTATTTCCTCCTGTCACGTATTTTCGTTTTTTTTAAAGCTTGAAACTTGCACCGCATTGGGACCCCTTGATTTCCGTATTCACCACGACACCCAATGCGGTATTTCGCGAATACCGCATTGGCAGGTTGGCACTTGCAATACGGAATCCCGTACCTTCCAATACTTTTTTTTTTACAGGGTAAGTAATTGCAAATACTAATAGAAATAATAATACAAATACTAATACACGGAAAAAAAAGAAAAGTGTTATTAACTTGAAAACTTGTAAATTTTACTAAACGGGCTTGTACTTATATGGACAACGTGACTTTCTTGTTACTTTTACTAGGTTTATCATGTAAACACATTTAGTGATAAAAACAATTTTTATATACAGTTTTAACTGCCTACATTGAGAAAACTGGAGTATTGGACTAAACATCTGGAGGGACAAATCGTTGATATTTGAGAGTTAGCTATTGGATAACAATCTAAATGTTCAAATACACCATTGACAGATATTCGTGCCATTTCTCTTGGAGGGAAAATGAGTTTATAACAGAGGGACAAATTAACCATCTTGAGAAATCCCTTCCTTATCCGACGCGAAATGAATAAATATGGCAACCTAACCCCTAAATTAAATACATAAAATGTCAGAAAAATAATTTCGCGCGCATCAGATCGTACACATTTTCTGCGCAACTTTTAACCCTCAGATATAATGGGAGAGAATATACAAGTAGATTTCCATTATCAATTCAAAACTTATTTTAGAAGGACTATTTAACTCTCTTCATAAGCAAAGGAAACATACACTTTTTGAACCTCTGAATTTGACTCTCCAGTTTTCTCAGTGTAGTTAGTAAATTTTACTAGTTCGCTCAGTTTATTAAACAAAGTTAAAATGTAACGATTACCGTTATGTTTTGTCAACATTACAATTTCGGAAAGTAGAATAAACTTTTTTAAATTGTAAAAATTACAAAATTTAATAGTTGTTTTAACAAATATCAAAAGTTAAAATTATTGTAAATAATGTTATTTTTACAATTTTTGAAAATGAAAGGAACTTAATGATAAAACAAATTTTACAAGTTTGTTAGGAGAAATAATGAAAATACGAATTATTTTTAGAAAGCCATATATTAATTCATTAATTACAATCATTGAACTCTATTTGCAATACTTATCACAGTTCATGAATATTAATATATTAGTTAAAGTATTTAACATTATAATACTTATCACAGTTTATGAGTAACATAAAAACAAAGAAACGTGTCTTATAAAAGTAAATATCTGGTAGCTACGTAGAATTGCAAATTTTTTTGTACTAATAAACAAGGAAATTTGCACGGTAGGTCATTGTACGACATTACAAATTCTCTTTTGCTATTAGGCTTTGCATCAACTTCAAACGCATCAAAATGTTCTTCTAACCTCGTAGATTTTAATTCTAATAATAAGAATTGTACAGTCTCTTTGATAATAAAAACGGAAACAATTTTAGCAAATGTTGGAAGTTCTGAGTCAATTTTTGTAACAACTATAGTTTCTGACGTGTAATTTGTACCATTAATATTGACCCATTTGACGCAATCAATCTCGTTTACACATTTATTCGTAGGAAAATAAAGCTTATAAAATAGTACAGAAAACCGATGATTTGGTACAATTGGCCCAATGGTGAAATCTTGAGCGTGATTGCCATCTTCTATAAAATGGGCCAATTGTAATTGATGTTTGATAGCTAAGGTTTTTGGAACATTTAATTTCGAGCAAGAAACATTAGCTGCACTTTTTGATGCTTTGTGCTTCGATTCAAATCGTAAAGACGAATAACTTGATGTAGGAACCTGGTTTTGTAAGAAAGAATCGTAGTGTAATAGAATATGAAATTTAGGCTTCAAGTGAGTTTTAAATATTTTACAATACATAGTATGGTGTTCCTTAACGAGTTGTTTTAATACATAATGAGTCGATTTAAGTATTTTAGGCGATTGAGTGATTACCAAAATTTTTCTTAATTTTAAATACAGTTTCCACACGATATCAGTTTTTGGTACTAAATCACCAATCATTAGGCCGAAATAGCGTACAAAGCATGACATTTCCGAAGATGACATTTTAATTTTTACATTGGAGGCAGTTTTTTTCGAAATAAGAGGTGGTTTATTGGAACTTTCCAACAGACCATAATTGAAAACTTGAATCCTATAATTTAAAACCTCTAAGGTGAAATATTTGGTTTTAGGATCGAAAATAAGATAATCCAATATATCAGTCATCACATATTTAGCAGTCCCTTCAGGAATGTCATGCATCTCATCTACTCCAACGTTTTTGGTTATGTGAACACCTTTAACTTCGTTCCAAATGCAAATATCTTTGATTCCTGTCTGAGAGATATCATTCGACTCTAAATCTTTTTCGTAATTTTCTACTGTTCTTAAAAGCTCTCGATCTTCGACAAGCATCAATTTCATCATACTTTTGTCTGCTTTGCAAATCCTGCACCAAAATTTAGCAATAAAACTTTCAGTAAAACCTAATATGCTATTCAACCCCAAATTATCCCCCAAGACTAATACCAATTGAATGTAAACTTTTTCCCCATTGATATCAAGTCCATGTTCTCTTAAATAATTAAATTCTTCAATTACAGGATTGAAAATTGCACGATTGCCGAAAACTTTTCTGTGATCTGATCTAAATAAAAGCATCAACAAAATATGGCGTATACTCGAAGCGTATTTAGGCGGTAAACAAGCAATACGACAGTACAGAGCTCCTAGCTTATTATCCCCTGCATGTGAACCTAAAACATTTCCTGTCTCATAGTCATCACAATGGACGAAAACCGGCAACACAAATTTATTGTCAAAATCCTTTACCATCTCTTTCCACAGATCGCATTGAATTACATTCGAAATAGTTTCTTTTTCATTTAGCAAACTTTTCATGTAAGATTTTATTTCATTCAAAAAATTAGGAATTTTAAGAAGATCGCGTAGTGTATTTCTTAAAGGTATAAATTGCACTTCAGCTTCAGCTGGAACCAATGTTATTTGACCGAAAACACGCTTCTCCGCAGTTTCTTGTCCTATACTTATTGAAACTGGTGGACAATATGATCTATATTTTTTAAAATATTTCAATCTTTTGTATTCTGTATTTAGACATTCGAAAGGATTAGGAATTTTTTCTAATATGGAGTTAATTTTTGTGAAAGTTTGAATTTCAATATTTTGATCAGATGCATTTAAGCTAGAACTTAACTTTTCTTTAATTAACGGAAGATATGCGTTTTCTAGAAGAGAATGAACACTATCAATGACAGTTTGAACAACGTTTCGAGGGATCATTGGATTATTGTATAAAATTGATACAAGTGATGCAGCTTCTAAATTCAAATTAACTTCCTCAGACAGATTATCAAAGGAATTCGAAGATATCGGGGAAACAGTATTTAAAATAAGATTCTCAATAGGTCCAGAAGGAAATGTTGCACTTTCTTCTTCTCTAACAAAACTATCTACGAAATTTTCAGTCTCGTTTTCTATCTTATTTTCGTTCGCAACGTGAACTGCATTTACATGCTTTCTAAATGAATTTAAATTATTATAGATACGATCACAATTATCAGTCTTGCACGTATACAAATCATTACTTTGTAAGTTGTGAAAGTGTTTTAAATGCAAAAAAAAGTGATTAACAGAACATGTTACAAATGAACATTTGAAACAAATCATTTTAAATGATAACGATGAAAATCTTTTAAAATATCAAAAAGTAAAAATCTAGATCTTTAACTTAAAAATTGATTGAATGTGAATGTTCAAATCAATGAAATTGATTTATTTTTATCTTCAAATTAAATTTTTTGTACTATAATTTTGCTTTATTATCATTAAAATTAATCATAAAGTTTGTAATTGTAAAATTTAAGTTTTTGATTTTTATTGCAATCGCAGTATCTTATGGAAATATTTTGAATAAAATATATTTCGATTATTTGAACATTAAAAATTTGTTGATCATTGTATTTTAAAGAAAATATTATACAGTACCCTCTATTATGCAGGATTCGTATTTTCTGAGTAATCGCTGAATTTCTAAATCCTTACGCTCCTGAGCAATTTGCAAAATGCTTTTTGATATTTTTTTCCATTCGGTAATCAAACTACAGTTTTCTTCAAAAAGGTTATTGAAATCGATGTCAATCTGAAACATATTAATTAAATTTTTTATTATAAATTTTATATTTGTATGTAGATTCTAAAATAATAAACACAATGATCTTCTATTGATTATTCAATAGTTTTTTTACTAAATATATTATACAGACACAATTATTTATAAAATAAATATTTTTTACCAAAGTATATATCCATAGGAAGATTTAAGTGACTTGTATAAATCGAAATATGCATGAATTTCCAAATCCTTTACTTCTTTTAATCGAATAATAGTAGTTTGTTTCCATTTAGCTCTCACCTCTTCTTCTGGCAAATTATTATGCTTTAACCATTCCAATACCAATCGTAATTCTGGATCTTCAATATTCTCTAAATTTTGTTTAAATTAAGTATTTAATAGACACATCAAAGCAAAAAAGAATTTAGTATTAAAAAAATGAAAATAAATTTAAGTTAAATTTTCACCATTCGAGTTTTCATCAGGCTTGGATTGAATCATTCCAATTTTTTTATATAAGCGCCTCTGATTGACATAGCGTTCGTAAAATATACCCTTACTGACACTTTTGCCAGAAGAATTGACACTTTTTGTAAAAAAAGTTTCCTCCAATTCTCCTGGAAAAAGCTGCACGCATTCTGAAGCCCATTCTTAAAAAGTTGAACTACATATTCTGATTGAAAAATTTTTTTTATTAAATAAATTTTAAATAAATATTTTTCTTTAAATTTTATTATTATTATTATTTTATTTTTACCTTTTCTCTACGTTTTCTTCCAAAGTTTTGTCAATAATAATAATTGCTGTTAGTTTATTATAATTTAAAGTATTCAAGGTTTTCAATTCGTACAATATTTCTTTTCCTCTAATTGTAGTTTGTAGAATATTTTTAATGTAATCGTTATTCTTATTTGTTAAATTAATCATTGGAACCCTGTAAAAAAAAAGTATTGGAAGGTACGGGATTCCGCATTGCGAGTGCCAACCTGCCAATGCGGTATTCGCGAATTACCGCATTGGGTGTCCTGGTGAATACGGAATTCAAGGGGTCCCAATGCGGTGCAAGTTTTAAGCTTTAAAAAAACGAAAATACGTGACAGGAGGAAATAATTAGTGTCAGTGCAGAAGTATGCGAGTTAAAGAAATGAGAAAATAATAATAGTGAGTGTAAAAATGAAACTTTAAGAAAAAAAGGTAAGTTGAACTGTCAAATATGGGCCCAATGCGGCATAGGCTGATTTCAATGCGCCACAGCAAAAGCAACTTTGACTGGTTTGAATGGCGTGAAATAGGTAAACAAACATTTTCTAACACATTTGTCTCGGTACACAGACACTTTTCACTAAATCTGCCAACGTACAATTGGTAAGCATCTTCTAAATTACAATAATCGAAAATATTGTTTAGATTCATGCAGAAACGTGGTTATAAAATAAAAAATTAAAAAGTAATGTAATGCAAATCATATGACAGCTGGGCCACTGTGTTGGCTCTGCTTGCTTCTACCCTCTACTGGCCACTTGCACTATGTACCGATTGTGTACCGCATTGAAAGCAGCCTACGCCGCATTGGACTCATATTTGACAGTTCAACTTACCTTTTTTTCTTAAAGTTTCATTTTTACACTGACTATGATTATTTTCTCATTCCTTTAACTCGCATATTTCTGCACTGACACTAATTATTTCCTCCTGTCACGTATTTTCGTTTTTTATAAAGCTTAAAACTTGCACCGCATTGGGACCCCTTGAATTCCGTATTCACCAGGACACCCAATGCGGTAATTCGCGAATACCGCATTGGCAGGTTGGCACTTGTAATACGGAATCCCGTACCTCCCAATACTTTTTTTTACAGGGAAGATCATTTTGTTTTGTAATCGATGAATGGTTTTCTCTCAACACTTTAACATCCGGAGAACCTAATGTTTCGCCGTTTACTAAATCCACTTCGGTGGGGTCTAACACAAATTCTATTTGACCAGTTGAATCTAATACATCCAATGTTTTTTTTGCATTCGATAAAAACGTTTCATATTTTTTGGAAAATTTACTTCTGTCGCCTATTGCAGGAATCAGTTCTTTAATGAAATTGTCCTTTAGAAGTAAAAATGCTTCAGAATCGATTGCATTTTCTAAATATTCAAAAAAACGCGATATATTGTATTACACGATAATTAAAGTAATAATTAATAGACGACATTATATATATTTAAAATAGATGCAAAAAAATACTTAGAGAAATTTTTAACCTACAAAGTAGACGCCGCGCGATAAATGAAAAATGTGTGAAATAAATTCTTACCTTCGAAAGTTTTAATAAGGTGGCTAAATCCCCACGATTGAAGGCACTCACTAACATGAGGGTCCATTATGCACTTTAGTTAATATCTATTTTTATTTCATTAAAATAATTCACCTTTCTTGCAGCACTTGTCTAAATCACGCATGGAACCAACCGATTGTACAGAGAGACGCTACGCGTTAGGTTAGGTCAGGTATAGAGGACACCGTAGGACTAGTAGATTTTACTAGTTTTTCTGTAGAATTCACATGTTTCTAGAATGTTATGTTAACTTGCTTAAGTACAGTGAACTATACATCCGTAATGATAAAATATACATATTTTTTATTTATTTTTACAGGACGAAGATAATATTTTAATGGAATTTTAATTGTTATTAGTACATAAAAAAGTACAATCAACATATTGCGCGTAGTAATTGTTAGTGTTTTCAATGTTACGTTAACTTAAATTGGTCAACAAGGTTTTCGTTAGTTATTTTAACATTTCTTTTTTCTCCGAGTACACTGTTAGATTATTTCCTGCAACAATTTCTGACATTTATAAAAGTTACTATTAGACGCAATATCCTACATTTACTTGCTTCCCAATAGTGTCAAAATAATTATACCGAGTACGTCAATATAGCGGAATCAGTATTGATCCAACAATTTTCTTTGTTTCGCTTACTTGAAGAAATTTAGAAAATATTATAAAATGTGTGTAAAATTATACTAAACGGATGAATGACAAATATAAATATCTTTGAAGTCAAACAACTTTGACATCTATATTTAACATTTCTAGATCAAATCTAGACCTAGATCTCTCCTCAACTTCTTAGACGTCAATTAGATCTTTTACTTTTCATTGGGTATATTGACACTATTGGGAAGCAAGTAAATGTAGGATCCCTGGTTAAAAAACCGGACAGATTTCGGACTAATCCGAAATTTATCCGAAACAATGCGGTTTAAAGGTCAGGTTTTTGTCACCTGAAATTAATCCGGAAAAATCCAAACTCTATACGGTTTGTGAAGGAAGGAAAATAAGGAAAATAAGGCCTTGACGCATTCATAAATCGTTTAATGAAATAATAATATTAAACGATCATGACCTCTATAGCAATCATCTATTTACTAATTTCACTAACCAATAGTGAAAAGTGTAACCTAAATGACATTCAGTTACAAAATTTAAAAGAATCTCTTTTCGAAGCGGAGATATATACGAAACAGCAACTTGTAGATGAAGATGCGGCAATCGTCATAGGAAATGCACGAGCTGGAAAAGGTACACTAATTAATTACTTAATTGGTACTAAACTAAAAGCTGTTCAATTATCAGAAATTTCGCAAATATCACTAGAAAAAGCAGACAATACATCCATAGGACCAATAATTGGTTCTGGAACAG